TATAATATTATTAGCCACCCTTCTACCATATCTATATTTATATCTATATCTATACCTATATCTATCTATCTATCTATCTATCTATCTATATACATACACATATGGTCCCCACAGGGAGCCTTAGTGAACATCTCAAGAGAAACTGTGACAATGACAATATACCTAATAGTAATCTCCAGATAGCAAAGCTGAGTCTCAAGAGAGAAACCTGTTACTGATGTATCTGTACCAATTAAGAAGAAAGCCCAATATACAAAAGAATTTCTTGACTACTTTTTCAGGAGTAATTCTCTGAGAAACATAACTATTCCCAACCAAGGACACTCATGGATTAATGCCATTGGGATAAAATGAATTTTTTATTCAGAGGTTATCTTAGGCATCACTGTTTTATGATATGTTGAAAGCAAGTTGAATCTTTCTTTCTGCATGTGCAAAAAGTGAGCATATGTAACTTAGCATTATTTAGGTGTAAGGAAACTGTAGACATTAGCCACCCAGCTATCATGTCCATAAACTACTGAAAATGAGATCTTAACATCCCAACTCAACCTGTATAGTCCCCTCTCTTACATTTTTACAACACTTCAGAAAGAACAAAGTACATTGTCTTAAGATGAAGGTAGAGAAATTTGAAACTCTGCATCAGCTTGAAATATGGCATTTTAACTTACTTAAAATATCCAAGATATTTAAATTATTAAAGTGATTTTAGTGTTAATAAAGTATGTAATTCCATATGGTCAAAGAAACTCAATGCTATGGGCAAATTTGCTGTTAAAAAAAAAACACTGATTACCTAAACTAAGATGACCTCCTAAAGACATAGATTTTTTACAATTTGAGAGATTAACCTGAAAATATTAAAAACACTTTTAAGTAAAAGAACAAGATTAAGTACCACTTGCATTATCTGTTCCGAAATCTATAGTTGATATTCTAAAATAGCCCAAATGCAGATACAGTAAAACCTGTGAAAGTTGGAACCTATGTAAGGCAGAAACTTGTCAGAGAAGGAAAACTCAAATATTTTCCACTAATACAGAAAAATAGGAGCTCTGGTGGTATAGTGCTTAAGGCATTTGATTGCTAACCAGAAGGCTGGGGGTTCAAACCCACCAGCCACTCCTCAGAAGGAAGATTGGGCAATCTACTTTCATAGTGATACCACCTCGGAAACCCAAGCAGTGGTCACTATGAGTCGGGTGTAAGGCAGAAACTTGCCAGAGAAGGTAAACTCAAATATTTTCCACTAATAGAGAACCACAAAAAAGTGGTATGTTGCACTCTAATAAAGGC